AAATTCAGCTAGGCTCCATGCAGGTAGCAAAAGTAATGTAAGTCCCCATAGTTCCTAGTTTGGTGATCTCCCTTCAGTTGTTGGCGATCTATAGCCCGTGTTTCATATTGTATTGTCTTCTTTAATTGGAATGTTTTAGCTTTGTTCGCTAGTTTAATATTATATCTGTGATTCTCTTTTTTTTGACTGTCCATCGTCGACAGGTTTTAATCTTCAAAATATTTCACTTTTATTGTATAAATTGTTTTCGTCACGATATTGCTGAGATATTGCCGATGTGACGTTAAATATTAACTCACTCACTCACTCACTATTACAACGTCTGAATCTATTTCATGGATAGATTCACAGCAAATGACTGACCATCCATTTAGTTCCTAGTAAACTCATATTCCAAAAGGAAACCCGTGTAATGTTTCCGACATTGTCCTATCTACGGTTCTGAAAGTATCTGCAAACATAGAAGCAATTTAATGATCAACAAAGATATATACAATAACGATTACAGGGTCGTCTACACTGCCAACCTCAGAGTCATATCGGATCCTGCTCGCCTTTTGGTGGTTGACTTGTATTCCAATCATGTCAGTGTTTTCTGGGAACCTGGTTGCCATCCTAACTGTGAGCAAGGAACATGTCCCATTCACGGATCTAGAGGGTCTGCTTGCCAGTAGCTATTATATTGGAGTTGAAACAGGATCATACATTGCAGAGACCTTGCGTGTAGGTGATGTATTATCTTTTATCGTGCCTCATGTAAGAACCCCGATCTCTGATTGGTCCACGTGACACTGAACAAATTTCCATATTCACCGCCCACCCTGTGGATAAAGTTTTCTGAGGGCCAATCAATGTCTTATACCTTTCCAGTTAAATTTAGTTGTTGTTGTGAATAAAAGTGTTGTTTCTGTGGTTTTTATTGATGGTAGCTTGAAACATTCGGTAAGATAAATGCGTCATCACATTCATAGAGCCGTAGTCCATAGTCTCGTTGGATAAAACCTAACGCGGGTTGATAATTCCCAATGTCAACCTCCACTGAACGTGATAGAATAAATTCTATCATTTGTATGCAGTACTTATTGTTTATGTTGTTGCAACAATCCTTAAATCATTTCAACAAATGATACCCATTTGAGATCACTGACATGATCAATGATATATCATTGTAGATGTCGAATGATTCTATCAACAAGCAAATCTGGAAAAAGACCAGGGAGCTTCAACCTGACAACTTCACTATTGAGGAAGACATTATGCACCACAGGACCAGACTAGCTGAAGGGCTGTATGCTTTCATCACGAATAGGCTCACTGTCAGCAGCTATATGGTAGAAACCTGCAACATGGATCACACAAGCAAACAACTGTTTCCGACCACTTTTTCCCTGATTGTACCCAAACACTCTCCTCTTGCAATGCTAATGAATCCAGAGTGAGTATCCATATGAAAATATAGGCTACAAAACTATTTCCAAAGCCATAATAAATATCTACAAAAGCACTGACTGGTTCTTATCCAGAATGTATTAATGAATTGTGATCAAATAGAAATACTACCAGTTGTGCTCGAAACGATTCAATATGGAACGTCAGTGCAAGAAAATACCCAGTATTGACTATATTAAGAAACAGTTCAGGAACAGCTATGAAAATCATATGTATATGTTACTAAAAATCATTGATGACAGCATGTGTTATCGAAAAGGGTAAGCTTAAAGAAAGTTACACGTGTGAATGGGGTCAGATGTCGACATTCACCTAACGCTTAGGTCTGTTGTTTCATACTAAAAATCAATCGTTTTAATGCTTCGATCTAACAGGGTGCAGTTCCTGGTGGATCGCGGGATTACTGACAAGTGGTATGAACAGCCCTACCAGGATGGAAAGTTGTGTTCACCTGAGGATGAAGGCGAACGTGTCGTGAAACTGAGGGATTTGTTCACAGTTGTAGTTGTTTCCGGCTGTGGAATGGGGATAGCTGCTGCTGTTTTGATATTTGAGATATGCAAATCTAAGTTATTTCACACATGAACCAGATTATAAGAGAGAAAGAGCTCTAACCGTAAAGAGCCTTGGTGTCCTGGGAACAAAACACCTTGGTGGAAATATTTCTTCGCTTGCATACATGTGTTATACAGCCAGTGGGATGACGAGGGTTTGGCGTTTAAATTTAATCTGTAGAAATATATTATTTCCTTGAAAGATATGATGTTATCAATGATAAAGCGGAAAGCACTTTTGTTTCCATATACTTTCATAGTTTTCAAGGAAGGGGGTCTTTTGTTGCATCTTGATAACATTAACATCTGACTGCATTCTCCTATATGTGTATCTTTGCAAGCAAAGTGTGAAGTGTGTTAAACTTGTATTCACCGTTTGCAAAAAGGTAAAGTGTAAGTACTCTTTTTGTCGTCTGCTTTACGAGGCTTTGCTCTGAGGCGCCGGCAGGACCTCTACAGTGCGATACATAATAAAGTACCTGATAATTTGTTGACATCATGAAACTGATTAAAGTTTATTTATAAAAGAACATCATGTTGGTATGAACTTACTTGTCACCTTTCTAACTTGTCGCTAAATTCCCTATACTTGCTCTGTGTTGATATCATACATGGCATGTACCTTAAGGAAATATACACACAAAAATGTATCGCATCACGTATGAATTGTAACCTCCATAATCATAAAAGCGAGAGGCTGGGTTCGAATTCCGGATGGGAATGAACCCAACAAAAGAGTTTGTATTTTGCTGAGAAAGTGTGATCTCAAATATAACATGAGTTAAAACTGACCTCTTTTTTTACGAAAGCTTAATGCTGCCACATTTGTTACATAAAATATGTTTTCACAGTCTTTCCAGCATAATTGGCTCACTTGTGATTACACATGCACCAGAAATGAAATATCCAATATTGATAAAATGACATTTATTTCTTGAAAACAAACATCTAACCTATTCAAAACAAACATTCACTCGTAAGATATTTTTGGTTTTCGAGATATACCACTTCTTGTACTTCTGTTACGGTGGTGAGAATTATTATGTACTTCATATTTAAGACAGTTACATATTTGTCAAATTAAAGAGGAATATGTATTCAGTTGAAGCACAATAAACTTGGTTTACCTCGAGCTTTTATAATCAGATAGTGTTAAGTGAAAACATTCGTGTCTGATGAAGAACTTAAAGGGAAATGAGATGTTTGATTCCAAATGTGTTTATATAAAACATACACCATAATCAGTCAAAACAATAATTTTATCAATATTTCACATGTTTGAACTGTAAGAATACCAAGGTTTACTTAATTGCAAAACAAACGACATGATCAGTAATGCCAAATTTACATAGGTGTCTCCCTGTTATGGAGGTTATAATTTGACATAAAGTTCTCAAATATAAGCATAAACATGAAACAATACCATCAATATCAATGTAATAATTCGGAAAAGGCAATTCACAGTAATTCTAAAAGCAACAAAGCAATGTATGCTGTAACTTGCAACGCGTTACGGAGGTTACACTAGAATTTGAATTTAAAACATAAACTTATATTAAAATTGTCTGTTTTATCAAACCCAGACAAACATGACATCCATCATGTGTCAATAGTACACGTGAAGCACGTGAGGATCCCTGTGAAATAATATCCGCTTTGCTAAATACATGTACATTACTGTTACGGAAGTTATAAGTTACGGAGGTTAGGATTTTCCATCACAGACATCTAATTACAAAACCTGTCACCAAGTTTAAGTTACATAGTATAAGTCCTCTTCCATCAATTGTTTTTTGAGTAAATTCAGTCTGTTAAATGAATGTTTACAGGAAGAAATACATGTTATGGAGGTTAGGTCCTTAAATGCGACATTCACAAAATCCAGTTCTAACGCGATGCTAAGGAAATATATTTTGTTATGTTGACATTAACGCTAAAAAAATATATTCAGTGGCTATTTCTGAACCCTCTGAATGAAAATATTTTCTGGCAGTATGTTGAAATAACTGTTGATAATTAAAACGTTTTGTAGGTTAGACGAGTTCTCGCGACATGAAAACATCGAGAATAATTTGAGTTTGGATTTGGTACACAGTGGAAGGACCTTTTTCTAGAAGAAATTTGCTATATTATCTCAAAAAATAACTTTTTTTGTCAGTTCCAACAACATCATTGCAACAAACCTTATTTAAATATAGAAATTTACTGGCGACATTGCATTTTTAGTGTCGTGAACTTATTCCGACTACTTTCTGGCACTGATAACAAACAGTATTGAAACAGTTTGTGTTTGTTTTCTAGTCAGCCTTGCCGAAACAAAAGTTGAAGTCCCCCCCAAAAAGTTTCTTGTTTATTTATAAATGTCTATTACCATGTGTATGCTGGAGACATGGATAACCATCAATTGCCACCATTTTGGTACAATGACTGATCAGCGACATCTCTCGTTGAATCTTGGGAGTATTTTCTCGTTACATCAATTATTCTTTCGTTACTTCGATTAATTGATCGTTATTTTCTCGTTGCCTCATGTTCCTGGGAGTATTTTCTCGTAGGAACGTTTTTAGCATAAAATAATGATTTACAAGTTCTCGCTGCTTCAACTATTTTCTCGTTGCTTCGATGAATTTCCCTTTGCCACGAGGATTTTCTCGTTTCTCCAGGTTTCTTTCAAAAGCTTGAAATTTCGACTATTTATTCAAAGCAATGAGAAAATACTGAAACTTTTAAGTTTTTGAAAGAAACTTGAAGTAACGAGAAAACGTTCGAAGGAACGAGAAAATAGTTGAAGTAAATTATCATTTTATGCTACAAACGTTCCTACGAGAAAATACTCCATGGAACATGAGGCAACGAGAAAATAACGACCAATTAATCGAAAAAAATATGTTCTGCTACAAAAGTGACAGCAATAGGCTTTCATACTTTTAAAATGCCATTGTGTATTCATAGCCTTCGGCCGTGGGAGCCGTACTGATTTCCACTTGTCAGAGGGATACACCAAGTCCGTGATCTAGACTACCAGTTGCCTGACTTCCATTTTTGTGGCAGCACAGTGGCTGAGTGGATTAGATGACTGACTTTGTGTAACGTGGACTGAACCCCCCAAAAGTAGTAGAATCTGTACTTTTCTGAGAAAGTGTAATATCAAATATAACATTTGTTACTCCATATTGCCTTTTATATTTATATCACTTGTGGACAAGTGTATTATTCATTTTATTATTTGAGAAGTTTATTCTAAATCCCTTTCCTCTTCATAATCACACCTTTTATTAATGTTTCGTTTTTAAACCACTATTCAACTTTTGGTAGCGGAACCCTTTGGGTTCGTCTGCTTGTCTCTCTTTAATAGTAAGTATTTTAGCAAATAAATTATCTTTTTATTACTTGTAAAGCATAGATAGGTGTATGTTAACTTTGTCTTCTTTCTCATGGTTGCTCTTGTTGACTGTATTTGATAGTTTAGCCTATTTGATATTGCAAAGTGACGGCAGTGTTGCCCTTCACAGCCACGCAAAATGTATGGGTTTTGATGCAGGGTCATGTGGTTGTTATGGTACAAATAATGAGTAAGTCAAACGATTTTGCATTGAAAGAAACTGTAATAGATCAGTAAATTAATCTAGACTTGTAGACCTTGATTGTGACAGATTCTACTGTTGTGTAGCCGATAATGAAGCGACAGTATTGTAGGTCAGGGGTCACGGGGCAATTTCGCGCCATTGAAGAATTTGATGTTTGAAGAAATAACAAGCATTCTTGTGACTGAATATTCATGTAATTTACAAAGTACATAATTCTTTTCACAAAGCCTCCAGTAAATAGCATTGCCAATTGTGTATTTTGGTAGTTATTGGCCACAACTTTCATGAAGTGTGACGACCCCAGAGTTCAAAGGTCATTGTTTACATTGGTTATAGCTGTATGCTGCTTAAATACTGTCAGCTCATCTAACCTGGTTGTATTCTTGTTTTGTGCCTTATAACATCACACTATTGTATTCTATAACCATCATTATTATTATGAAGGTAATTAATAGTTACAATGGTGATAGATTATGTAATTTTTTGCAATACAAGTGCAATAATATTATGGGCTAAATATGACTAGGAATTACAGTTTCGTTAGTGTTTTGTGCCATAGTGGTGAATATATTTGAGTGTTTGTTATTGGTACTTTTACAAATATTACAGTGGTGATGATTTGCAGTAATTATTGCAATAAAGGTGCAGCAGTAGTAGGGTAGGGTAAATATTGATAAATTGAATATTTTCCTAGTGTTTACTCAAACAACTATCTCTGTTAGTTATCGTGCAAGTACTTATCTCAATTTTGTTGTGTTGCAGGGCGAGTACTGTCTGCAGTCAATCGAACTGCCGCCCCTTTTCCCATAACTATTAAAATGTTAGAGAACTCTGACCTTTATTGGATCTATCTACACACTGTTGTTTCGGTTCATGTGATAATTGTGACCCATCAGACGCGTTATTCATAGATTTTAAATATGCACGTTCTGCAATCAAAGCCCATTATCACGTGTAACGCGTGTACCCGCCATTTAAGCAAGTATCAAGCTTCAGTAAACTGATTTTACAGGTCAATAATTTGGAAAATCAATTGATTTCATTGTTGATGAACAAATATGGGACCTCCCCAACTCATACCTGCTCAAAGATGACAATTTATTGGTGCGCAGAATTCTTGGATGTCTTTGAGGGGGTATTGCATGAGCTGTTAGTTGTTTGACCATCGACTCTCAGCCGATTGACCTGAAAACATAAATAAACTACTACGGTTAAGGACCGTCAGCGTTTAAGTCAACCAAGTTTGACAACTCCTGGGTTGTATTATAGGTTAAGATACTTTTCCTGCGGATAATAATCTTTTAACACCAAATTGATAAAATCTTTAGAAACAGTATCAAACGCCTTTTCAAAATCGATCAAAATTAATACACCCGGAATGTGTCTCTTTTTTGTCTCAAACGTAATGTCATGCAGTAATCTTGTGTTTTCATTTATGTTTCTATGAGGTATAAATCAAATCTGATTTTCATGTATAAGAGAAGATTGCTTAAGCGATTAGAAATACAGGTGCTTACTATCTTATACAGTGAATTCAATAAAGTTATTGGTCTCCAGGTTTTTTAAAAGGGTATTTTTTTTGTTTTGCTTAGGTATACATGTAAAGATACCTCTTTTCATTGAAAATTTGATTCTTGTCAGAAATATGTTTAATAAATCTATAGATCCAATATTTAAGGCCATTCCAAAAATAGTTAAAGAAATCTATTGGAAATCCATCTATTCCAGGACATTTATTCTTTTAAATATTTTTAATATCTCATGTTATTTCTTCCATGTCTCTAAGATTGTCACTTTAAGTGGGTGTTACTACATGTTGTAAACAAGTATCATCCTCATATATCCTGCCAGAAGAGTGAATTCTTTTGTAAAATGTGTTCATTCAAGTACATACAAATCCTTATTTACAGATGGGCCCAAGGATGGTGGCGCGGTGACATGTGCCACTGTCAATGCATCCAGAACAATATCTTCTCGACTACCAAATAACAGCTCTAGTTTCACAGGACAAGCTAACGCCATATTAACAGCTCATAAATATATTAATAAACACCGTAAATATAAGCAATACATCATCTTTTCCGATTCTCTTTCGTGTCTTCAGGCTATTAAAGATCTTTCTTGTAAACATCCACTTTTAATAGAAATTTTTGAACTGTATAATGAGCTTGCTACTGGCCAATGTCTTTTGTTGGTTACCCAGCCATGTTGGCATTTCTGGGAACACAATGGCTGATCTTGCTGCTAAAGCAGCACTCAACTTATCTGTAACACCAATTCTTATTCCATACTCCGATTTCAAAGCTAGCATTAGAACTTACATCTGGGATCTGATGCAGAAGTGGGACACCCAAGTCGGTATCAATAAAATTACATGAAATAGAACCCTATATTGGTTACACCTACTTTGGTTGTCAGTCCAGAATTGAGGAGGTCATCATGCGACGATGTCGCATTGGCCATACGCGTTATACTCACGAATACTTGTTAAAAGGTGAAGATCCCCCGTTTTGTCTCCCTTGTGATGGAAGAGTTGAATTCTCCATCATTAGGGATAAATATTTCAATGTGAAAAGAGTTAAGGATCTTTTTAACAATGTTACTTTTCATTTAATTATTGGGTTTTGTAAAAGAAATTGATTTCATAGATGAATTTTGAACAATATGTTCTGTAGATATATGTATTTTAATGATTGGTAGTGTAGATTAGTAAACTTAGATTGCTAGTGGCTGTACCCTCAAAGGGGGTTAAAGTACTGTAATATTATTGCCCCCCAGAGAGGGTACGTAAGTACCAAAACTTTCAAAGTAAAATATAAATTATCACATTTTAAACATAGTATTTTGTTATTTTAATCTTTTGGCTACATTTTCCTACAATCGCCAGTGGCTAGAGGGATGGTGTAAATCACGCTAGGATCCATGCAGGTAGCAAAAGTAATGTAAGTCCCCATGGTTCCTAGTATGGTGATCTACCGTCAGTTATTGGCGATCTATAGCCCGTGTTTTATATTGTATTGTCTTCTTTAATTGGAATGTTTTAGCTTTCCTCGCTCGTTTTATATTCATATCTGTGATTCTCTTATATTTTTACTGTCCATCGTCGACAGTTTTAATTTTCCAAATGTATTCACCTTTTATTGTATTGATTGTTTTTGTCACGATATGGCTGAGATATTGCCGATGTGACGTTAAATATTAACTCACTCACTCACTCCTTTCATTCAAGATAGAATAGCTGTCAGTAATTTCATCATTGTTATCCGTGACAATCTTACTAGTTGATTTGCTGACAAGTTTTATATTTTCTAGGTTGCAAAAATACCTGGTTGGCTTTTTCCACTCTTCATACCAGAAAATTCTGTTTCTGAGCTGTACGCCCCTTATTTCATCTTCTTTAATTTGTTGTAGTTTTAGTTAATGTTTTGCCAGTTCTGATAAGACATTTTCATCTATAGTTTGAAAGTCCTATCTTTGAATCTTCATAATTGTTAATTTTAGTTTTTTTAATTCTGAGGTTTTGCCTCTGGTTTTCTTTTTAGAAAGGTTGAAAATGAAATTGAAACTTTCAACAGAAAACTTTCTAAAAATACACAATCATCAATCTTAAGTTTTATATTAAAATCATTGGCATTTTCATCATATATACTTCATATCTGAGTATTCTTCAGCTGTGTTCTTTAGTATGGATCTAACAAGTTCACTTTATTAAGGTTGTAACAATAAAGAAGTATTCAATTTCCAATATCCTCGACCTCTTTCTTAGTTAATAGTATTTGAAAAAATGTAGTTAATTGCTCAGTAGTCCGTTTTATACCCAGGAATATATCGGAATCAAGTGTAAGGTTCAACAAATCTTGTGAGATTAAAAAAGCGTCCAGTCTGGCTTGTTGTCTTGAATGTTTTCCGACCATGTAATTTTTTCATTTGATCCCCGCCAAACATCCACAAGATCGCAAGCTGCAATTGTGTTTAAAACTACTTTTCTGGCCTTGGAATTGTTAATATTTTTGTAACTTTCTAAATCAATTGAAGGATCAAAAACCAGATTCCAATCTCCAACTATAACCAAAGATTCATTCTCCAAATTTGATATATTTTCAAAAAAGCTTTAAATAAAATAATGGGTAATCAATATTTGGTCCATAAAGATTTGTGAGTGTAAATCTTTTATCTATAGTTATGTCTGAAATAATAAAATTTCTGCCTTCGTCTTACAGAGTTTTATGTATAGTAAGATCTATATTATTACTGAAAAGTATTGCAACAGTTAATTCTTGAATTAGACTGACTGACTGACTGAGTTTGGTTTTACGCTGCTTTTAGCAATATTCCAGCAATATCACGGCGGGGGACACCAGAAATGGGCTTCACTCATTGTTCCCATGTGGGGATTCGAACCCGGGTCTTCGGCGTGACGAGCCAACGCTTTAACCATTAGACTACCCCACCGCCCTCTTGAATTAGACTTGAAAGGTACAATTATACCCTGCAATCCCCATTCATTTCTCATTTCATTAACATCTTCTTTTTCTATATGGATATCTCGTAAGAACATTATTGAATATAATTTCTTTCTATATAGATTCATAGCTTCTTTCCTTATATTTTTATCTGCAAAACCCCTACAGTCAGCTGAAATCATCCTTATCTTTTTAATATCATCCATCTGATAACCATGTTAAAATCAAAGTATTTGTAAGTAATGAAACATAATTGCAATGTCTAGAATTACGCCTGAATATTGTGTAACTAGATACATGCATATGTGCGGTATTTCAAAACATGTTGGGGCATCTGCAAATGTGCCTGCAAAGCACAACATAAACATAACCTTAAAGGTCAAGGTTCGATTTACCTGAAGTCTACTGGAACGAATTTCTTATCATTACCAAATGCAGAATATTCATTTCCCCTAACAAAGGATCTAATGATTATTCATGACACATACATGTATAAATAAATTGCATGACATATCACCTTAAAACAGAAAATGGAATATAACTCGCGTGTGAAATTGTAAACATAAATCACCACTGATCAAAGTACTTACTCACAGGCACATTTGAGCATAGTCTTAGAGATGTCCAAGATATATGTGATCCGTCAAAAAAGTGTCGCACAAATTAGAAGAAAGAAGAAAACAGTCGTTGTTATATCCATGCACCTTTGTTGTTGTGATGTTCGCGTTACGGTGTCTGATCTGCGGTGATTGTTCCCCATTCGTTGTTGGAACGTTATTTCTAGTTTGGAGTCTGTTTAGTCTTCTCTCCAGGATTCGAGATTGAACCTCATATTGCTTTCTGGGCTCAAACGCTCGGTTAACCAAGCGCCATCTCTGTTTCTTTAGGATATCTGGGACTTTCCTCTCATTTAATAGGCCCATCCTTTGATTGGCGCACTGTATACTCTCTATTTTTCCTTTGTTCTACTTTGCAACGATAGGTTTTGGCATTAAAGCTCGAAAATTGGTTGGATTGGTACTTTTTTCGGGTAAGTCTATAAACATTTACAAACTGAATCTCACTCGCCTCCTTGAGGCCTAACAGTGTAATGACCTCTCTCACTGCAGGTCCTGGCTCTTTATCATCTGGGGCGGTGGGGTAGCCTAATGGTTAAAACGTCGGCTCGTCACGCCGAAGACCCGGGTTCGAATCCCCACATGGGTACAATGTGTGAAGCCCATTTCTGGTGTCCCCCGCCGTGATATTGCTGGAATATTGCTAAAAGCGGCGTAAAACCAAACTCACTCACTCTTTATCATCTGGTACACCATAGATAAGAAGGTTGTTTTTCTTTGAATGTAACTCCTTGATTAGAAAACATGTTTTAAATTATTGTTCATCTCTGTTTTGAGTCGGTCTATCTCACTTGAGTTGCACTCTATTTGCTCGAATCAAGGATACTGACGGTCTTATTATTGAATCTTTTATTTCCAATCTATTCATCCGTTCATCTACTCGCTCATCCACCCACCGTTCAATAAATTCATTCATCCATCTACTCACTAATCAACACAGCGTCCAATCTATTCATTCATCCTCTACTCACTAATCTACCCACCGTTCAATCTATTCATCCGTCCATCTACTCACTAATCCACCCACCGTTCAATCTATTTATTCATCCATCTACTCACTAATCTACCCACCGTTCAATCTATTCATCCGTCCATCTACTTACTAATCCACACACCGTCCAATCTATTTATTCATCCATCTACTCACTAATCTACCCACCGTTCAATCTATTCATCCGCCCATCTACTTACTAATCCATCCAAAACCCAAACTGTTCATCCGTCCATCTACTCACTAATCCACCAGGGCGGTGGGGTAGCCTAGTGGTTAAAGCGTTGTTTCGTCACGCTAAAAATACCCGGGTTCGATTCTCCACATGGGTACAGTGTGTGAAGCCCATTTCTGGTGCCCCCCTGCCGTAATAATGCTGGAATATTGCTAAAAGCGGCGTAAAACTAAACTCACCCACCCGCCGTCCAAGCTATTCATCCGTTCATCTACTCACTAATCCTGCCACCGTCCAATCTATTCATCCGTTCATCTACTCACTAATCCTGCCACCGTCCAATCTATTCATCAGTTCATCTACTCACTAATCCAGCCATCCGTCCAATCTGTTCATCCGTACAGCTACTCACTCATCCACCCACCGTCCAATCTATTCATCCGTCCATCTACTCACTAATCCACCCACCGTCCAATCTATTCATCCGTCCATGTACTCACTAATCCACCCACCGTCCAATCTATTCCTCAGTTCATCTACTCTCTAATCCAGCCATCCGTCCAATCTGTTCATCCGTACAGCTACTCACTCATCCACCCACCGTCCAATCTATTCATCCGTCCATCTACTTACTAATCCACCCACCCGTGGCGCTAAACGTTCGCCTACTCGTCTGAAAACACGAGAGCGGCCGTCTTTACTGAACAGGCACTGCTCTCGTCGGTAATCATCAAACGTCGCCAATCACTCATCTGGCAACGTCGAACTCACCTGGCCCATGTTAATCGACGAGGCCAGTTTTGAAGTGTCAGATGTACTGCGCGGTAGGGTCGACGGTGTGCTAGTGCCGTCGTTGCCGTTACATAACAATTTCCCAGATAAATTTTTCCGCATGTGGCGATCATCATCGGCCGTTGTCACAAGTCAGATGCTCTCTGCGGTAGGGTCGACGTGCTCGACCGGCTGTTGTCACACGTTCTCGACCACTACCATGCCTGTCTGACGTATTGCCTGTTTGTCATAGTCATTCGGGGGCAGCCGAAGGTTCTCGCAATGACGGTCTGCTTAGCTCCTTGTTTGGCCATTCCGACATCTTAAACGTGGCATGTTTTTTTGTGTTAACGTTCTTTTTACTGCTGTGTTGCTCACGTGTAGGGTAGGCTGATACCGTCAGTATGCACGTGCATTTCGTGTTACATCAGAAAAAGTCGTTTTGGATTTTTTTAGACGTTCTTTAAGTGGTTCGTTGACTTTTTTCGCCGTTTGTTCCCGGAAAGAATGCGTCTGTGTGTGAAATGTCTCAGAATGGTTTTATCACTTCTTTTATATTTTTGTAATTTTTATGTAATATTTTTCGGTGTATAGTTACTTATCAGCACTAGATTATATTAAACATTAAATAAGTGCTCTTTCTCTAGTGCGTACATTAATACCTTTTAGTAAATATTTGCAAATGAACGACTAATTGAAGAAGACGAACACTAAAAACAGTCAAATTGTACTTTGAATCACAAAAACAGTTACAATTAAATGTCAAACATGAGCCCATTAGACAACCGTCACGGATGTCTCCTCCTCATCAATAGTCCTGATGCTGATAGCCAAAGTTGTCTTCGATTGTGGCCTGTAATGAACAGAATGTAGTGGAACTGTAGTAACATGTCGGACCTTCAACTTAAAATTCTCGTAAAAACTGGTCAATTAGAATTTATACATTATTTAAAGCTGGTAATGAACACCTATGGATGTACACACGAATACGAAGATGTATTAAGCATAATATTCCATACTAAACAGAATAAATAGTCTGAAGAAGTATGACACTCAAAATACGCTGTTAAGAACAAATTCCATTGACAAAAGCAGGAATATCACGCGTCACTTGTATTTTCATTATGTAATTTACTCAGCCAATTTAACGTAACACAACTATAAACTATTATACATATTGAGGAAAGTAGCCAACGGACAATCCAGTCATCATGTCACAGTTCGACTCATTGGCGTTTAATTGTATTATGAAATATATTATTACTGTATTTTCCAAGTTAGAGCACACCTACAGCAGTGTACAATAATCTCTGTATTTATTCTTGAACTTAGTTGTATATAAAATTTACATTCATTTCATACACACAAGCACACACAGACACTTACAAACACACACAGACACTTACAAACACACAGAAGCACACACAGACACTTACAAACACACACAAGCACACACAGACACTTACAAACACACAAGCACACACATACACTTATGAGCACACACAGACACTTAGAAACACACAAGCGCACACAGACACTTACAAACACACAAAAGCACACACAGACACAAACACACAAGCACACACAGACACTTACAAGCACACACAGACACAAACACACAAGCACACACAGACACTTACAAGCACACACAGGCATACACAGACACTTACAAACACACACAAGCGAACGCACGCAAGCACGCAAGCACGCTCAAACACAATGTGAGAAGGAGACACAGGGCCACAATATGTCGCGACGTTGCATTGTTTCGTTGTGGATTTACAACACGTTTTCTGGCCAACATCCATACAAATATTGAGCAATGCAGTTACAGTAAAGATTGCTCTTCAAATCGTCAAAACAATGCCCTAACACAATCGGCACAGCCCTTTCTTCTGGCTCTTTGCTTGGTTCCGCCTGATTGGATCCAGGTTCCTGAACTCAGTATTAGATTAAGCACTTCCCTATATGCTTACTGCAATAAACTATCAGTTTTCATTCAACATCGGCATTCCATAAATTTTAAGGCGCTTGCTCACAATGCTCAGTTACTCGTTCAATACGATACTTAAGGTAAAGGTTATTAATATAACGTGACACAAAATAGTTCTATATCTTCCATCAACTGAGGTAAACATACCATGTGTATAGATGATCTTATTTGATGTCAGTTAAACTTAAATTGATTAATAACATGAAATGTACAAACATCGAACAACTTACAACGGCGTGACTTTACCGGATGACAAACATCAATGTCCTTGAGCAGTTTAATTTGTCAGACTCCTAATGAACAGCAAACAGAAGACAGTCATGTTCGTTAGCTCTTTTACCAGCCAGTTCACATGTTGATGTCACGAAGACACAAATGCTTAATGGTGCCTGAGTGTTGTGTACATATTGTAGATGTGCTGTGTAATTAGTGGATTAAAATCAATAGTCAGAGTTTCTCACCTGTGCTGGACTAGTTAGGCCAATGAACATGGCAATGCATAACGTCGTGGATACTACTCTTCTGTTTTTCCATGGAGGATTTGTACTGGGTGCTTTGGTCAGTTCATGTCATTGTAAGTAGTCGGTATTACAAGCCTCTTAATTCCTCAGGTTGTGAATCTTATATACTACAAACAAAAAGTATGGGAACACCCTCAAATCTGATAGCCGTGCACAAACCTTACAGTGGTAACTTCATTAATTCATAAAAGTGAAATGTATCTGGACACTTGAAACGACATGTTGAAACAACAGTTGAAGCAATTGCTTCAATATTCGTTAAGTTTTGATGAAACTGAAAATTGTCCAAAACAGCAAAAATTGATTCAAACGCCCATACACAACAACCTAGTGCACGTGAAAGACAGACTTCCCATGCATGTTGTGGCAACCTTTCCTTTAAATGTATCTGCAGACAGTGTTGAAGCCTCACAATTACCCCAACATTCCGCAGCGTAGACCATTAATCGGCCACGACAGAAGCAGGGCCATTGCATGGCTACAGGATGGTGAATCTTTAATAAGCGTTGCTCGTTGTCTTCAGGTGTCCCCTTCCGTCATTCACAGGTTGAGGGAACGGTTCCAAACCACTGGAAAAACGACAAAGGCAGAAGATCGACATGTTGTAGTCCACGCCCTTAGGAACCGCTTCGCAACTGCCAGTGCTCTACGGCTGCAGCTCAGTCATGCAGCCAACACCAGCGTCAGCATCTCAACCATCAGGAACCGTTTCAGAGCTGCTAATCTAGGGTCACGTCGTCCAGCGGTACGTCCTCCTCTCCGTCCACATCACCAGGCTGCAAGACTGGCCTGGGCCAGGGCACATTTGAGATGGAATCATCAAAAGTGGTCCGTGGTACCCTTCACGGACGAGATACGATTCTGTCTTGAGCACAACGATGGAAGGATTAGGGTTTTGAGGCGGCGTGGAGAACGTTACCATGATGCTACTGTGATGGAGAGGAACAGATTTAGTGGTGGCTCTGTGATGGTTTGGTGGGCTTCAGCTTACATCACCGTACTCTTCTGTACCATGTACAGGGCAATTTGATTGGATTGAGGTATCGGGATGAGATTCTGCATCCTCTGGTTCTTCCAACTTTGAACACCATTGGTGCCGGAGCACACCTGCAAGATGACAATGCCAGACCACATCGAGCTCGAGTCGTTAGAGACATCTTGCAACAAAATAATGTGAATATGATGCAGGGGCCAGCTTATTCACCTCACCTGTGTCCAATTGAACATCGATGGGACATTCTTGGACCACGTGTTAGCGAAATCATGGAATGGCACCGACTCTTCAGGTTCTTGTACAGTGGCTCCAGATGGAATGACAGTTGATTCCACAAGGAACCCTCCGCACCAGTTTAAGGTCCTTGGGGCGCAGATGTACATAATGCTTCAATCAACGTTGAGGACAAACTCTTGGACCCCGATCCTCTTCCGCTGCTTGTATTGGAATTGCCGTCAGTGATATCTGACCATAAAACCATTACATTTTTACACCAAACATTGTTTTATTTACCCTTGTAATTGACCATGCCACTTTAAATTTACTTTGTTATACTTTGAGATTTGGGTGTTCCCATACTTATTGTCAGTAGTATGTATTGATTTTCATCCATATCAAGTGTTATGAAGCAAATTATGTATTTGGGTTGACACTTTCTTAGCAAAGTACAACTCTAGTATCGTTTTTGGGTTCAGTACCATCTGGAATTCGGACCAACGATCTCAGTGTAAGGGAGCCAAAATCCTACTTTAAAATCAGCGCTCTAACTTTTTCAGCCACCCATAACGATTGTTGAGTGTCTTTCACCACTCCTGTTTTCTGTCGTAACTGCGTCTCGTGTCCATTTCCCCGCGACACTTTATCTCACTTATTGCCGTTCTGTGACTCGGATGCGATGTCCAGACCCTGCCGTGTACACAGCCACTAGGGCAAGGAGTTAGAGGCGGATGTCCCTGAGTCAGAACTATTAACACATCATCGATGGACTCCCATGCTTTCAGGAATAACTAAACACAGACTCTATACTAACATAACTTTTACTGCGCCTCAATCCATCTGTTTTGAATGCACAATGACTAAATGCGGAGTCTTCTAATATCCTTTTAATGACCATGTGGATCTCAAAGTATATTCTGCAACAATGAAATGCAGAAAATGAATACATATTTCCCTGATACTTTCATACATATACAACCTCTGAATACAAGACTATGACTCAGTACTCCATATGTTGCTATTATTAATGAAATAGATAGTCACTAAAATATATTGTGAGCATTCTTTTGCGTAAAGCATAATTTCCTGCTTGAAGAGTGATTTCTCCGCAAAAATATGTCGATCAAATGTTCTCTGAGTCTGACTTGCGTGTTGCTCTGACTGACATGTGCTCTGTGAGCGCATCGCAGGTTGCCTAAAAAACTTGTTCTGATAGGGAGATAATTTGCATCAATAATGTCTGACGATGCAAACCACTAAGCAAATAAAGGAAGTTTCTACGTTTCTAGAATATACAGAACTTACTTTTCACTATTTTCAAATGACAATGCCACCAAACACTTCTGCACTAGCTTACGCCTCTGGCATAAATTTATAAACACTATAAAATCCATGATACACCAACAGTGTATACAACTTAAAGCTCAGTAATCATAATAATATTCAGATTTCTTAAGTTCAAAACACCGGTTTAAACAATACCCACAATATGTTGCATGTTTCATGAAGTCATCTCTTTGGGAAAATAGAAAGATCCATATTTCAGCTACAAATTATTGATTTCATTACATATCACCATACTCACTCACAGTGATTTTCCTAATAATAAGAAACGTAAATTATGGGTGAATTTCACAAGTAAATATGATAGTCAACCATCCTCTGATACACAGATTCCATAAAGTTTCAGAAGACCATCTCTTCATTACAAGGTGACACGGACACTAAATGTGACTGCTGACTTTGAAACCCTCACCATCTTGCTTGTGTTGACAGTGTTTTTTAAA